TAAAAAGTAAAGAAATAATTTCTTTAGTGGAAGAAACTTCAAGACTATCTAATGTTGAGTTTATGGTTTGGTTATTATTGACAACACTTCTGCAAGTGTACAGTGAAAAGAGCAAGGGGGCAAAGGGAGTGCAGATGCCCTGCTCGGAGAGAAAAAGAGCTCCGGGAATTTCATGCTTTTATAATTAATTACGTCAGTGCCTAGCGCGACTACAAGTATAGTTCTGAGTTGTTGACGAGCTTGATCCTTTATGAGGTTGCTGACCATTAACTTGCTTGTCTTAATTATCTTTACCAGTTAGTAGTTTTTATAAGATTAGGATTTGCAGCTTTATCTCTGTTAAGTTTGGTCCTATTTCTGAATTGAAGCTTTTAGTATCAAGATGAAACTTCAGATAATGAATACAGTCCACAGAGAGACTGGCAGCCTCACCTTCCTGCCCCATTCACGATGCTTCACTACAGAATATCACAGTTTCTTGTTTGACTCGGTGACCTCAAGAGAAGGCCAGACATACATTCTTCAGCCTGAACAGACTTTAGGGGAGGCGAGATGTTTTCTAAGCCAGTGGTTCTCAGCCTTCCTAATGCTGTGTGACCCTTCATCACAGTTCCCCATGTTGTGATGATCCCTAATTATAAAATTCTTTCATTGCTACTTCATAACCGTAATTTTGTCACTGTTATGAATTGTAATACAAACATCTACTTGCAGACAGCCCTAGGTTGCCCCTGTAAAAGGTTCTTTGGCCCCCAAAGGGATGGCAACCTTGTTGATGGTTGAGAACCACTGCTCCAAACTCTTTGCCGGTCTGCTTTAAGTCTTTGTCTTGCTACATCATAAGATAGGAATACCCCAGTTTCTTGTGTTTCATGTTTGGTACTCATTGCTGTGGCCCTAGCGCTTTAGCCTTTTATTTATTTTTATTATATTAATAATATAAAACATTTTATGAACTTAAAATATCCCATAGCCTTATAAATTTAAAGATTTTCAAAGCTGGTCTTTAAAAAAAAAATCTAGTTTTTTAAAATTTTTCTGTAAAACTACAAAATTTTCCCTTAAGAAAGTTTAAAATCTCTCAACTGTGTGCTCTTGCAATATCAAAAAATAAACCTTTTTACTTCCGGAGGAGCAAGCATGATCTGCACAGGCAAAACCAAGCTCAAGAAATGCAAGCTTTGACTGTTTTATTTGTTTAAATTAGCATATATTGTTATAGATTTATTTTGTTATGGTGTTTTGTGCATTCTTTTGTTGGTCACTTCCTAGGTCTTAAGAAGCTGTCCTGGGATATGGAATGCTTCAATTCAGAGAAAATTATCTTTCTGACCATGAGATAATTTCTTATAATAATTTTCATCTTTTTTCCTACTAATATGATTTCATTTTTGTTTATGGCTGAATAAGAAATCCCATTGTGTATATGTACCCCATTTTCTTTAGCCATCTGTTAGTGGACATTTAGGATGGTTCCACTCCTGCTGTTGTGAATAGTGTGGTAATAAACATGCATGTGTAGTTATCTGTCGATAGGACGTGGAATCCTTTGGGCGAATGCCCGGGAGTGTCATAGCTAGGTCTTATGGTAGTTCTATCTTCAGTCATGTGAGCAGCCTCTATACTAGCTTCCTTAGTGGCTGTGCGGTTTTACTCTCCCACCAATGACTTATTTTTTATTATGTCCTCTTCAGAATTTGTTATTTGTTTTCTGTGGTAAGATGGAACCTCAAAATTTTTATGTGCATTTCTTTGGTGACTAAAAATGTTGAAGTGTTTTAAAAATAGTATTGGCTGTTTATGTTCTTTTGAGAAATCTCTATTGAGTTCATTAGTCCATTTATTGATTGGAAGATTTAGGGCTTGGGTGTTTATTTATTTATTTTTGCGGTTCTTTCTGTATTTTAAATGTTAGCTTTGAAATGCAGGTGGCTCAGACTCCCTCACATCCTGTGGGCTATGAGTTCACTCTGTTGGTGGTTTCTTTTGCTGGGTAGGAACTGTCTAATGTCATGTAATTCCATTGTCAGTTCTTGGAGTTTTTTCCTATGCTATTAGAGCTCTTTTTAAAGGTCCTTGCCTGTTTCTGTATCCCCTGTGTTTTTCTCTGGCAGTTTTAGAGGCAGCTTTCTGTTAGAACTGCCTTAACTATAGCCCAGGGTTCAGTGAATTGTCCTCTTTTCATTTGACTCTAGGAATTTTAAAAATCCCCTCTCTGCTTTATTCAGTGGCTCACTGTTGATTGACAAGTGTTTTCAGGGGCTGTGGATGTTGGTAGAGTGCTGGACTATTACACACAAACCCTGAGTTTTTTTCTCAGAAGTAAACGAATCAATTAAGTAACAGAAGTTCATCATTCGGGCTCTGAATATGGGCTTAGTTCTGTGGTTTCTCTTGCTGCTGACTTATAGTTTTTGTTCAGTACAGGTAATATGATACATTATTAGGAAGTATTTCAGTTTCATTAAATTGAAATTTAATTGATTTTAGAGATTTTACCTACCACTGAGAAGTATTTGTTCCCTGCCAGTTGGCTGAGATATTCTGCAGCTGTCACTGACCTGAAGTCCCCCCACTAATATGGTCAGGAGGCTCTGATCTTGCATGCCCTTTAGAGTTTGTTACATATATCTGGGAGTCGTAAATTCAGTGCACAGACACTTCCAATCATTCTCTCCCTTCTCGGTGAGTTGTCTCTTTGTGAATAGTAGGCTTCTCCATGTGCTTTGGTGAGGTTTGGTTTCCATGGGCAGGTAAGGCTGGGGACTGTTGGGCAGTGTTGCAGAAACATGTCTCCCTTTGTGGTCACCTATTGTCACAGTCTGTGCCTGCTCCCAGCAGCAGGGAAGCCCGGGAAGTGTGGCTCTTGTTTGTGTAACTGTGTAGACAGAATGAAGAGGTTTGTTACATAAGAAAAATAGGAAGTTAAACAGAGCCAGCACCGTCTGTCATGCAGCCTCGTGTAGTGTTTAACTCTTGCTTTCTGTTTTCCCTTGGGTGACTTTGAATTCAACTTCTCAATCATTAATGCACGAGTTCAAAAACTAGACAGAACCAAAGGGTTGCTGTGAAAAGTCCACCCGTCTACACAGTCCTCCGTACCCACAGTCACCAACGTCTCCCTGTCTACACAGTCCTCCGTACCCACAGTCACCAACGTCTCCCCGTCTACACCGTCCTCCCTAACCACAGTCACCAGCGTCTCCCCGTCTACACAGTCCTCCCTAACCACAGTCACCAGCGTCTCCCCGTCTACACAGTCCTCCCTAACCACAGTCTCTAACGTCTCCCCATCTACACAGTCCTCCCTACCCACAGTCACCAGCGTCTCCCCGTCTACACAGTCCTCCCTACCCACAGTCACCAACGTCTCCCTGTCTACACAGTCCTCCCTACCCACAGTCACCAACGTCTCCCTGTCTACACAGTCCTCCCTAACCACAACCACTAATGTCTCACTATCAGTTTTCGGCTTCTGTGTGGAAACGTGAGAAAAGATAACTATGCATTCTTCGTCTTCCTCCTCTCAAAGCATCTGCCTTATGTACCTTGGTCCTGAAGTAGAGCAAGTAGAGGAGGGGTCTGAGGACAGGTGTGATGAAGCGGGGACGCACAGGTGCCCTGAGGTACGGCCTACCCAGCGTCTTGCTTTGTGTTGGTTACACAGACATGCTCTTCATAATGTTTGGTTTAAACTACATTTGAGATTTATATACCATCTTACAGTTTTTCACAGTAAAACTGTTTTTAAAAATGGGTCCCAAGAATTGGTTTAAATGAATCTATTTAAGAGTCCCTTTAACAGTCTTATTTACCCCATTTCTGTTTTAATAAAATGTAGAGCTATTTAATGAGACAGAAATGGCCTGGAAAGTTCTTTTCTTAACCTAAACGATCATATCTGTGTCTCCTTGTAAGGTCCATTACCATGATTCTCAGATAAATTAATAGATTCGACCTCAGAAAAAATATAGAGAATTAAAAGCTAATGTCTTTTTGTGGCCTATACTATAGTTTAGAATTCTTTTCAGTGTGTCGTATATCACTTCTACTAAATCTGAGCTGTTTCCCGCTGTTAAGTTTCTTTACTCTCATTTCTCATCAGGACGGCAGCCTAACAAATGTGTGCTCCTCACTAACCTGTGTCTTCGTTAGTAGCAGAGGCGCTTTGGAGGTCTCTATGGATTCCCATGAGTTTATGGGGAGAGGGGATGTGGCTACTAAAGAATATGGTGTCCCAAGGCTGGCGAAGCAGCCACATCAATAGAAAAGAAAACAGAGCAAAGAATACCCAAACTCTCACATGTCTTGCATATGTAAAATTTTACATTAGCTCTTATTTTAAAAAAATTATTGTTTTTTTTTTTCACTTTATTTATGTATTTAATGTGTGATGGGGGACCCATGTATCTCACAGTGTGCATGCGGAGGTCAGAGGACAATTTGCAGGACCTGGTCCTCTCCTTCCACCAGCTGGGTCTCCAGGGTTGAGCTCAGGTCAGCGGCTTGGCAGTAGCCTTTTCCCCATGAGCCCTCCCCGACACCTGTTTGCTCTGTTAACAGCGTCACACCGTAAGCAAACCTCCGAGGCAATCATTAGTGACTGGTGTTGGGGTGACGGTGACACTCGATCACTTCACAGTCTCTCCCATCGGGCTTTCTATTTCCTGACTAGACAGCTGAGCAGACCCAGGTATCCAGTTATAATTTCCTTTGAGAAGCGGAGTCTTTGATGAGCAGCAGAGTCTTTGATCAGCTCCTCTTACAGAACGCGGCTCATTTCCAGCGCGGCTGTGTGGTTTCTAAGCCACAGAGCAGTCTCGTGATTGAAACTCAGAAGCTGCGTGATGTATGCGGAGCAGTGGGGGTCTGCTCGCCTCTGGCCGCTCTGCTGCTGCTGAAGAAATAAGGCTGGGCAGGGATTCAACTGTCGGAGACGTGGGGAATTTTCACCAGTTTCTTATCTTCTGCTCTATCTGTACCCTTCTGTTTTAATACAGGTACAGCCTGACTGTTTGGACTGGAAAAGATGACAATTATTCCACTGAAGATTTACTTTATATTCGAGACTACTTTAATAAAACCCAAGTTTTCTATGATATTTTGGATCCACAAAACCATGAATTTAAACAAGCCATTGGGATCCGAGTCCCTCTTTAAGAAAACAAGAATTCACTTCTAAATCAGTTTCTCTTTTGGCTTCATATCCTTCTCTGCTTTGTCGAAATTAATTACGGTATTAATAGTGATTATTGGTTTGTGCTAAATTTATCCAATCAAAATGTCTGTTGTGTACTTCCTCCACCTTTATAATGTCATATGGCTGTACGTATGAAAGATTTCCCAGCTGCAGTAAAACTGTCCAAGCTGCGTGTGCTAGAACATGCTTTTAACCCTACAACTTAGGGGACTGAGGCAGGAAAATCAAGAGTTCAAGGCCAGCCTGGACAACATTGTGATACCCTATCTCAAAAACAATTTTTATAAATTCTCTGTAATCACCAGACATTAATTTTGTAAAAAAAATTCAATTAATGAATTGACTACTTTTTGATGAAATTAGAAGCACAATATATTTGTCCAGAATGAAATACTTCCTATCTAGCCCTTAACAATTTTCTTGAAAAGTTTTCCTATGTTTATTTATTTATTTATTTATTTATTTATTTATTTATTTATTGCATGCATGTGTATGTGAGTGTGTCAGGATGCATATGTAGCAGTCAGAGGAAAGTCTCTAGGCACAGGTTCTCCTCTTCCACCTGTGTGTCCTAGAGATGACACGCAGGTTGTTAGGCTTGGCAGCAAGCACCTTTACTGCTGAGCTGTATGTCTGGCCTCATAGTCTGAAGACAATAGTATATTCTAAGTGACACTCAAGAAGCTGCCACTTAGATTTAGATATAAAGGAATTAAGCTGTTCTAAGAAACAAAAGTGCTAAAAGAGAATCATGAGATTTATTCTACTGCAAAGTATATTCTGAATGATTACTTGTGTGGGTAAATACCTGTGCTCAGGTCTTCACACCACACATGACTGAAGAGCACCTTTGGCCTAGACACAAAGCCGAGCTTAGAAGGCATTTGGCAGTGAGTGTAAAGACCTCCTGGCTTCTGAGACAGGCAGGAAGCACTAACTCTAAAAGAAAATACAGATAAATGGATGTGAACAAGCGTCTCATCAAAAGATACCATTGAGATAGCTCAGTAGTTAAGGGCCTTGACAGCTTTTCCACAAGACTCAAAGTTCAGTTCTTGACACCCACATGGTGTCTCACCACCATCTGAAACTCCGGATCTACAGGATGGAATGCCCCCTGCTGGTCTTCTTGAGTACTGCACTCATGTGGTGCACAGACACACATGCAGGCAAAACACTTATACGCATAAAATAAAATTAAATTCTTAAAAAAAAAAGCACTGGGGCGTATCTGACAAAGGACTGCTATTTTATGTCATGTACACCTATAAAGTGGTAAAAAGTCAAAAGCTTGAATTAAAAATGAGGAAAAATTGATAGCTACACCATGAAATAATATATTCACATGCCCAAAGCAAGTTTTGCAGAAAAGGTTCTGGACAGTATTACTGTTCATCCAGGAAAGGCAGTTTAGGCCACAGTGAGATACTAGTGCATACATCCCAGAACAGCTAACACTAGAAGGACTGGCAGCTTGTAGGGGGCAAAGGAAACATTCCTGCAGTTTTCAGTAAAGACAGTATCTCTGACTAGGATCCAACCATTGTATCCATAAGCATGAAGTCAGGGGAGTTCCCATGCTCACAGAGAAGATCTGTGATAGAATTCTGGTAGCCGTTCTATTCTGAGCCCTAGTTAGAAACAACACATTTTCTTTTTTTTTTTTAATTTATTTATTAAAGATTTCTATCTCTTCCCCACTGCCGCCTCCCCGAAACAACACATTTTCACCAGCAAGATGTAGACAGGGGTTTCTGTCCCGTCCGGTCCTGCAGCCATTCGGTCGCAAAGAAATACATAGAGGTCTACTACATTAATTATAAACTGGTTGACCTATTAGCTCAGGCTTCTTATTAACTAATTTTTACATCTTACTTACATTAACCCATTATTCTTGTCTGTGTTAGCCACGCGGCTTGATACCTTTGTCAGTGAGGCATTCTCATCTTGTTTCCTCTGTGTGTTACAACTGAAGATTCGGCCTTTCCCCTCCATAGAATTCTCCTGTTCTCATCGCCCCACCTCTGCTTCCTGCCTGTACTTCCTGCCTGGCTACTGGCCAAGCAGTGTTTTATTAAAAATAATACAAGGGACAGGATAAAAGACTGTTGTCCCGCAGCAGCAAGAGAACTGCTAAATATAATTAACTTACTACACAGTGTTAAAAAAGAAGTCTGAACTGCTTAATTCATGTTGTATGGATAATAGTAAACAGTGCAGAAGGAGTGAGGACAACAGAGTACACACTATATGGATCCATTCAAGGACACTGTCTTAGTTAGGGTTTCTATTGCTGTGAAGACACACAATGACTACAGCTACTCTTATAAAGAAAAATACTTAATTGGGTGGATTACAGTTTCAGAGGTTATCATCATGGTAGGAAGCAGGCAAGTGTTCAGGCAGATATGATGCTGGAGGTACCTGAGAGTTCTACAACTTGATCCGCAGGCAACAGGAAGTGAACTATATACCCCACTGAGTGTAGCTTGAGCATAGGAGACCTCAAAGCCCACCCCCGACAGGGACACACTTTCTCCAACAAGGCCACACCTACTCTAACAAAGCCACATCTCCTAATAGTGCCACTCCCTGTAGGGGCCATTTTCTTTCAAATCACCATAGGCACCCAAAAGTAATTTATGGCAACAGAGGTTCAAATGGTGATTACTCATAGGCAGAGTATTGGATGGGCAGTGGAACAATTTGGAGAAGAGATGAAAATGTAACTGTGCCAACATTTTTGAAAAGAATATTTGGGAAGAAATTATCGAGATGTACATTTTACTGTGTTGTAAGTTATACATATCAATCTTTGATAGTATTTTCACAGACCTTGATGTATATAAATTCATAGAATGCTAACAGACACTGAAAAGCCAGCTTCTGTTAATGTGGAAAGATATTGTGGTTGCAAAACAGCACTACGGGATGGTTGTATATGCAAAGCTGATGTATTCACAAGTACAGAGAATTTTGGAAAGAATCTCAAACAGAAAATACTTGATGCTTCCACATTCCCAAGCCTTAGGTATCGTTGTTGTCATCCCATAGCATTGGAATTCTGCTGCCATGACTCACAAGATCTTCCCACCTCAGAAGAGACACTGGTAAGAGATTTGATTGTTCCAAATTTCAGAGCCTTCTAGATGCACAATTACTTTTGGTCCTGTGAGAGTGGCGTGGCTGCTCATTAGCCACTATGTGTTGACTTCTCTGTGGGAAATTATTAAAATAATTCAGAACAATTTGTTGATTTGCTTGGATCATAGTTCTCTGGGCACTTTACCCCTGTAATTTGAGCTGTCACGTGTTTTTTTTTTTTTTTTTTTTTTTGAAGAACCCCATTAAGTTTCCTGAGGCTCAGGGGGTAGGAAACGGAACAGACATCTCCCTGTGCTGAGACTCTGCAAGTGTTTCTCTGGGACCCTATGCTGGGACTCCATCCAGGCTGACGTGATGGTCACGGACACCAGAGAGGAAGCTTTGAGATACTGATGAGGTGCTTGGCTGCTCCAGGGACCATGACCCACCATAAGCAGGGAAGGATTGTGAGAATCCAGGGACCACAACCCCCACCATAGGCAGGGAAAACCTCCACCCACCCAATTCTAGACCTAGTTTCCTCTCCAAGAAAGACATTCTTTTCCTCAAGTCATCCTGTTTTCTAAGGACTCCACCTCATCCCACTCCCACAGTGATTTTGACTTTACTCCATATTTAAATTATTTCATAACATAGACAATAAAACTTCCCACACAGTTCACAGTTACAATAGCAAGAGAGTAGGGACTGTGGGAGACTGGCCAGTCTCCTGGCTTCTCCCCATTGCTTTGTCCCTATGCCTAGGAGGCTCACTGGAGCACCAGTCCAGTGACATCTGGTGCCTGAGCCATCTGGGTTTCATTGCTGCTGTATTCGCTCGCTCGCTTTCTTTGGAGTGAAAGAACATAACAAAAGTCCAAATTTTTAATTAAGGTATTTGGCTGTGAAAGTCTTGCTTCTTTGTCAGCCCAAGGGCTAATTACGAAAGCAAAGAAACTCTAGGGCTCGGAGCAGAGCGCTCTTCTGATGTGTACTGGTTACGGGTCTGTTGCTGTGATTAGGCACCACGAACGAAGGTAATTTAGGAAGGGTTTATTTTGGCTTATCATTCCAGAGGGATAAGAGTCCATCATGGTGATGCTGAGGTATGGTGGCAAGCGGCCGGAGCAGGAAGCCGAGAGCTCCTATCTTCAATGGCAAACATGAAGCAGACACAGCAAAGGAGAAGCGAGAAGCAGGGGCAAGGCTGTGTAATCTCAAAGCGCCCTGCAGTGACAGGCTTCCAGCAGCAAGGCTACATCATCTAACCACTCCCAAACAGAACCACCAGCTAGGAGGAAAGTGCTCAAATACTGTGCCTAGGGGATATTTCTCATTAAACTACCATAATATGTAAAGGGCTCTGGGTTCAATCCCTTGCCCCTCTCTCTCTCTCTCTCTCTCTCTCTCTCTCTCTCTCTCTCTCTCTCTCTCTCTCACACACACACACACACACACACACACACACACAGAGTTCCTGTTGTACCCCCAACATTGCACTCTCAAGGGTTTGGAGGCCTTGGTGGTCCTACCTGCTATATGGGTCTATAATCACATACTTTATTACTGACCATGGTAACTTCAGAGCTTTGCCCAGTGAGGTCCTTGTGTTTCAGCGGACTTTGTATTTCTGAGACTTGCTCCATCATGGCTACTTGCTGTAGGGAAGCCACACATCCGCTCCCGTCAGATTGCTACGTCAGCATCCCCCTTAGGGCGTTTCCATGTGTCTCTGGGTAGAAGTGATTTCTTCCCTTTGTTTCAAGTTCTTGATCCCAGTAAGGAGTACCATTGCAGGAGTCAGCTAGTAAGTGTTTTTCAATTTGAGAAAATTGATTTGAATTGAAATGTTTTGCTCAGCAATTAAACTCCGCACCATCATAACCAACACTGGGTGAACACAAAAACAACGCAGAATGCTGTGTGCATGTGACTTCTCCTACTTAGTTCAGAAGTGATAACAAGTAAAGACATTTCAAAGAACTTTCTGGCTGAAACTGTTTCAGAGGTCATTAAGTGAGAGGCCCCCTTCTCGAATGTCTGATCTCAGCCATCTCCTGTGTGTGTCTCCAGGAATGGTACCCTATGTCCCCCTAATGCAAGCTTCTCCCTAGACTGGCAGCCCTAGTGCAAATATTCCAGCAGCTTCATTTTCTAGTCGTGTTTGACTTCATTTGAAAGACTCTGGGCTCAGTCATTTCATCATTCCTTTCCATATTTAAGGCTAAGCTCAGTTGAGTCTGTCTGAGCTAAACACTACTCACTTTTAAATATTTTCCAGACTTGATTATCTTTTCCATCTTCTTGCATTGATTAATTTTGAGTCAATGTGACAGAAACACCTACAGAACACCTTAAGGGACCAGTTTTAGTCTATCATGGTGGGATGCATGGCCTTGGAAGCATGTGGCAGGGTCTGCTCACTGTACAGCAGATAGGGTGCAGAAAAACACCCCAGGTGACTTCTCGGCCAGCCAGGCCCCACTTCCAAAAGGTTCCAGTCTCACAAAATAGTGCCACCAGCCTGGGGAGCAAGAGATCAGAACGGGAGGCCATGGGAGGCATTTTCAGTTCAAACCACAACTTTCTCCTGATGTCAGTGCCGTCCCCAGACTCGGATCTTTCACAGTTGATTAAGGAGGGCTGCATCAGTAGTGGACACAGATTAATCTCCCAGCAGTGTGATCTGGCCCCGTTGGCAGTTCCAGCATGCACAGACGCCCCTAGACCGGTGATTAACCACAGCTGCCCATTTCCCTCACCAGCCATTGCTTGTCCTAACCCCAGGCCGCTGAACCCACGGCCTTCACGACGGCTAAGCTGCTCATTGCGGGTTTGATCCTGCAGCCCGGCAGACTGGAGTCCTTGCGCAGTTCCCGATGCTGCAGGACATCCTTCCTAGCCTTCTTTTTTCTTTCCCTTCCCTTTAACTGTAGACTCTGACAGAAGGTTTGCAGAGATACGGTGTCCACTTGAGAGGCGGGCAGGTGAGTCTCCCGTATCTGACAGATTTGCTATGGTCTGACTCTCCTAGGAACGTGGACTTGCGATCCAAGAGTCAGCTGAGGGTAGATGATATACATTGTGTATATGCATGAAATTGCCAAAGAATAAATAATAGCCAGGTATGGTGGTGCTTGCCCATAATTCCATCATTCAGAGGCCAAGGCAAGAGCATTTTCAGTTCAAGGCCAGCCTGAACTATATAGTGACACTCAATCGCAACAAAACAAGTAAATATGACCTAGAGACACTGCAACTAGACAAGACTATATAAACACAAATTTTAATCTACTAAGAATTATGGCTTCCGATTGAATTGAGCCTTGTAGTAAAATAGATTTCAAGGTAAGCACAGAGGTGTTACCTACAATTCCAGCTCCTAGCCTAGGTAGGTTGAGGCACATAAATCCTGTGGGCCCAGAAGTTCTAGGTCAGTCTGGAAAATGCAGACAGACTCATAGGAAGTGGGGGGGGGGGAAGGAGAGAGGGAGAAAAAAAAAGAAGATAGGGGATAGGAACGAGGAGTTGATTTTGAAAAGTACTGCTGGGCAGTGGTGGCACACCCCTTTAATCCCAGTATTCAGAAGGCAGAGGCAGACAGATCTCTGAGTTCAAGACCAACCTGATCTACAAAGCTAGTTCCAGGACAGCCAAGGCTATACAGAGAAACCATATCTCAAAACAAAACAAAACAAAAAAACAAGGAAAAAAGCAAAACTAAAGACCAAAACTGCCATTTCCTAAAAGAATATGATGTAGCCCATACCATTATCACCACCCAGGGCAATGTCAGGTTCCCCAGAGGCAGAAAGAGCAAGGGGAAAGGGGAGTAAGAGATGCTCTTAAAATTTACTTTTATTTTAAATAATTAATTAGCATATATTCATCATACAAAATGAGTGCCATAATGTAACAGGCCCTGAGATCCTAGCACAACGGACACCATGTTAGAGGTGCCATTCTGACCTTACAACCCAGCACATAAATCCCTACAACTGCCAAGATGGGAACAAAGACCTAATTCATCAAAGATAGACCAGAGTTTCAGAATCCAGCAAAGTCCCTAACTGTGTTAACCTTGCTTTTTGGCTTCTGTAGTTTCACTTCTCACGAACTGTTCTGGCTAACCAAAGTGTGCCAAGCAGGATGTGTTTTTTGTGCATAAAACACAAAGAATGGTGTGGCTTGGGGCTGCATGATTTGGGCAAGTTCCCTGTGCAGTTGCCAGCTGGCAATTCAGACTTTCTGTTTGGCTTTACAAGTGTGGGTGTGTTTCTTGGTAGAATTACCTTACACTTGTAACATTGATGTGTTGTATGCACAGGTGTGTGTGTGTGTGTATGTATATATGTGTATGTACGTGTATGTACGTGTGTGTGTGTGTGTGTGTGTGAGTGAGTGTAGGCCAGAGTTCAACCTTGGGTGTCTTTCTTTATTGCTCTCTATTTTGTTTTCTGGGACACCGTCCCTTACTAAGCCTGGAACTTGTGTGACTGGCTAGCCACAACCCTCTCCCCCGAGTCCTGCCTCTCCTCCTGGGGTTAGGCATGCTCATAGCCATGGCTAGCTTAGGTGAATCCTGAAGGGCTGAACTCATGTCTCCATGCTTCCACAGTAACTTCACCCCCGAACTATCTCTCTAGCTTCATTTTAATATACTCACGCAGGTGACATCATACATCTTGTTCATATCTAACCCCCGCACCTCCTCTTGTTCCCCTTCCACTGTTCCCTTTCCTCCCCCAAACGGTTTCCAGATCAGAGCCATGTTTAACTCTGTAGATTTAAAATACTTTCCCTATGACAAAATACATGTAGTTACCCAAGTCTGGCTTGTTTTGCTTAACATGATGGGATCTATTTCTGTCCATTTTCCTGCAAGCGATGTCATCTTGTCCTTTATGACTGACTGACCCGCCTGTACATGGCGAAGCTGGTGAGCAAGTCCACTGCAGCCAGCTGATTTGCTATCTCTGGCACTCCTAGAAACTTCTTCGTCACCCTCAAAAATGCCATCTCTCTTTTAAGTGAATTATTAGGGAGCAGAATGAGACTCGCAAAGGGTTCTGTGACTAGATGCCTGGCCTGTGCATCTCTACTGAGGATACACTTACGCAGGTTTAGATGCCTTCTTTGGATAGGCCATGTCAAGCTCATCTTAGTAACAAGGCCTGCCCTGTCCCCTCTGAATGACTGTTTCCCTGGGTCTGTATTAGTTATGATCCAGGAAATTCTGCTCACCCGGAACTAAGAATGGTAACTGCAAAGCCACTGTGTGATGTGTTTTTTGACCTCTAAGTTAAAGTTAAATCCAACTCTACATGAAATTCAATTATAAATGTAAAATAAATATGTATGTGCACGCACGTGCACACATGTGCGTGCACACACACACAGACTTCTCTAGGAAACATTAGTGACTCATCATGGACTCCCAGTGATAACCATTTAGTACAGTAAAAAGCCTCAGACTCTCACAGCCTGAGTATTTACAGTGTTCTTAGGAGCACTAGAAGGTTAAAAACTCTGATGATGGTCAGCCATGTTGTCATGTTATTCTTATCTTTTTGTTGTTTAAGTTACATGTGCGGCACAATTTCTCTTGAAATCATGTTGCAGTGTTTACTATTAGTATTTGACGGAGAAATAAAACTTGGTCAAAATGCTATTTTAAGTCTTTATTGATAGCATCTTGATAATGAATTACCCTATTTACATTCTCTTCCAAACTGCGTCCTTGCAGTGTGAGGTCAAGTGCTTTTTGAGATAGTAAAACTCATGAAAGGAATCCAGCTACTTAGAAACATCAGTACAATTTTGATTTGTGAATAAAAATATTTTCTAATGTAATTAATATTTTCTTTAAAACATTAAATGGAAAAACCTGAAATTAGTTTTTAAAATAAAAGCCACAGATAACTACATAATTTTATGTACACTTCAAATTGCTGATATCAAATTACCAAGAGCGGCATCATGCCACCTGTTGGGCGAGGAATTGAAGCTGTGGATGATGTCATTGGACTCACACCCTGGGGTTTCTGTTTCTATCAGGCTTTGCTTCAGAACTGCTGCAAGGAGAAAGAAGTCTTTGAACACCAGACTTGGAAGTCATGTAGGTAATACTGTCATTTTTAGAATATCTTATAATAATGTGTATTTTGTTAAAAGTTATTCATTGACCCTAAGATACTAGATGATCCAAATGCCACACCAAGGGCATTATATATCTTTATATGACTGTCTAATATCTACATATCAGAAATAAACATACTGCTTAGTAGTGACCCAGTAATATGTTTTATGATTAAGGTTCTACTTGGCTTTTGTACTTTTAGCTAAAAAAACTAATGTTAATCAGCTTTTCTGTTTTTAGAATGAAGCAAGCATCTAATCTCCATTTAAGCTCAATCCCAAACGTTTTGCAGCCCATCCCCACCCCGCCCTGTTTTGGGTGTTTCTTTTGGAAAGACAAGGATAATGTAAGTCAAGGGGAATCCCATTTCTTTTGGGAAGAAAAGAATAATGCAATAAAGGGAACCCTTTTTAATTTTTATATTATCTTGGTGTTGGAAAACTATGGGCAAGAGACTCAAAAAAAAAAAAAACCATGAGGAATAATGCCATAAGATAACATGATTGGTGAGTTTGTTTGAAAGCAATACACGGTGCAAAGACAACAGAATTTGGCATAGGGCTTGCTGCCCTGCCTCGCCAGTGTGTGTGGGGGGGTGGCTGTCAGAGGACTACCTTGGGGGGTGAGTCATCCCCTGTCCCCTTGTTTGAGGCAGGGTCTCAGCACCTCAGAGTCAGTCAGATTATCTGAGCCATGAGCTTCTAGGAATTCTCCTGGCTCTGCCCTTCATCTCCCCGCAGAGAACGCCGGGATTGCGCAAACTCGCACTACTGGGTCTGGCTGTTAGGTGGATTCTAGGAATCCACACTCAGGACCTCAGCTTGCACTGCCGGTACGCTGTCTCCTCGGCCCCATTGCCTGCCATTCTGATGCAGGTATGGCAGCCATTATGAGCAGCGGTTGCTCTAACTAGTTTTTCATGTTACATTTTTAAAATAAGACTTTCACCTGTCTGAGTCAACATTTTTAAAGAATCTGTTCATCCTTCCCTTATAGTTTAGCTTCACTGATGTCAGGGTTTCTTTGGTGATTTTGACATCACGGAAAATTACAACCTTGTTGACATAAAGTGTTGACAAAATTACTAACTTGAAAACATTGTTTCATAATAGAACATGAGGCCAATCTGAAATTTTAAAAATCGTTTCTAGCATAGGTACCTTTCTTTCTTGGAGCATTTTTGTTTAGATGGAAAACTTGGACCACATGAAAGTCGATAAATACTGGAAGTTTTGAGAAAAACGGCTTTCATTTTGTTAGAATTTCCTCGGAAGCTATATATTATGGTGTGCTCACAGTACCTAACACAAAATACACTATATTTTCATCTGCCTAGCCGTGATGCACTAGCTAAAACTTGAAAGGATACAGTTAAGATTTCTTCTCTAAGCCTATCTTTTTCTGATACAGACGTTTGGACATGATGTGTTTTCTAGCCATCTCTTAAAAATTTACTAACTGCTTAATTTGTTCTGTCTGCAGAGACTGTCGTCTTAACAACATCTTTTTGTTTTTGAATTCCTTCGGGAAACTAGGAACAGTTGGCATAAGCGCTTTTTGGCCACAGGAAAGCAGGCTGCAGATCTTGCTGTTGACACCGACGTCTGTGATAGGAGGGTGAGGATTTACATTTAAGGGGGGCAGAAAGCCGGGTCTACTCTGCCCGAGGCTGTGATCGATGGGAAACGCTCCAGAACCCCGCCTTTCTAAAACCGCGTGGTTCCTCCTGCTCAGGGGACCCGGAGGGCCAGTCTCCATTAATTCTTTGGGCAAGGAAGGAGATGGCGCAAAGATCTTTTTCTTTCCAGCTTTGCCTTCTTCTGTGTTCGGAGGCGGAACACCGTCTGAGAGCTGAGAATCAGAGCTGTAGTGACTGGCTCCCGAGTTTCGCTTTTGAACTATACTTCTTAAAGTGGAGGCGAAGAGGGTCTGGTTAGGGTCTGGGTCCTGGTCAGCGGGAATTTCCATGCATGGCTGGTTTCCTTCCGGAAACAAAGGGTGGTAATTTAGTTCATCATATGACGTCTTCTTTGAGTTGACCTGGTCAAAGGCCCTGAGCAAGTGTGCGGTGTCTTTAACATCGATGCTCTGATGTCTGGTGATAAAGCGCTTGGACAGCGCCAGCGCGTTGGTCTTGTAAGCTATTTCCTCCTCTGGCGTGATATCTTGGAGCTCCTCTTGCAAGGAGGCCACTCGGGCCTGGTGCTTTAATGATGGGGTATTCTTGATCCAGCCTGACCCAACCTGGGATAGCTTGGGCCCGTTAGGGGTCATCACAGGCTTCTGCCGAGGAGAGTCCGGGTCCCAGGTATTATCGCTGTTTCCAGAAAACTCCTTATCTTTAAAGCCAAAAAGTGTCAGGTCTGTCTCGGAAGAATATGACAATGGCATTGAGGCAGTTTTGATGTCAATTTCTGAAGGCGTGACTGGAGGATGGCTCCCATCCATGTCCGCGGGAGGCATGTTGAGGTACTGCTGGGTGGTGTGCCTCCCAGAGGGCGACTTCGCTGTCGTTATGATAATGACCTCTTTCCCTTTAGCCTGGCAAGCACTAAGGAGGACTTTCAGGGTATCTCTGTCCTCTGCATTTATAGCATAAACCAGAGCTGAGTAACCAGAATGGTCCTGCAAGCTGAGGTCCGCCCCACTCTTGAGGAGCAGGGAAACCACTTCCGGGCCAGCTCTTTCTAAGCATGCGTGCATCAGAGCGCTTTTCCCGGATTTGTCCTGGATGTTGGGGTCAGCACTGTTCTCTAGAAGGTATTTAACCATCTTGGCTCTACCGACGCTCTGCTGGTCGATGTGTTTGGTCTTACAAGCAATCATTAAAGGCGTTTCTCCGCGGTCATTGCTCTCATTGATGTAGGCACCACCTTCTAGCAAAAGTCTTGTGAGGCGAAGCCGGCTCTGATGCACAGCCTTGATCAAGGAATTTCCATCAGTCGAAACTTCTGTGCCTTCATCCATCTTCAAAAGTCAGAGATCGATACCTGGTTATCAAAGAAGTTGAAGATTAATCAGAGTCGATGTCCAGTTCATTTTGCCTATTTCTGAAGAATGTATGAAGGGGACATAGATGGGATTGTGTTATTACTGGAAGCGGAGCAGAATCACCAACTGGGGCCAGGGCAATGTGCGAGCTGTGCAACCCTGAGGGCTCGAGTTTGACTCTCGAGCACCCCAGTTAGACGCCAAGAGTGGCCATGTGACCCTGTGACTCAAGCATTGGGGTCGGAGAAAACAGTAGATTCTAGGATCTCCCTGACCAGCTAGCCCAGCTGCAAAGGTGGGTTTTAGGTCTAGTGAGAGACCCTGTCTCAAGGGTCTAAGAGAGAATCGCAGAGACCCTCCTGTCCCTCATGTGACTGCACTAGTCCAAGCACACGGGTCCATGTATGTCTCCCCAGCCCAGTGCATTCACCTCACACATGCATGCACACCTAAATAAAAGGAAATCTCAAAGAAAGCGTTTGATTTTTTTTTTAAAGAGTTTGGAGAGGTGACTCAGTCATTAAGAGCACTGGCTGCCCTTTTCAGAGCATTCAGGTTCCATTCCTAACAGCCACATGGTAGCTCAAAACTGTAACGCCAGTTTCAGTGGGTCTGATACCTTCTTCTGGCCCCTCCCCACAGGCACCAGGTAGACAAGCCGTCCTCAGGCATACTTGTGGGCAAAACTAGCATACACATATATACACAAAATAAGAATAATGAAGTTAAAAGAAACTTTAAAAGGAGCACTCAGGCTTTATAAACATTGAATTTTTTTCTATTGACACTAAAAATACATGTTCAATTTATTTAAATGTCTCAGATCCCTCAATAGATAATTTCATTATGGGGGTAATAATGATCACTTTATATTGAGCTAAGAGAAAATTTGTCTTTCAGTTGTGCTCACAGTAGGAGACAAAGATCACATTGTTCTATAAATGTGATATGTAGAACATGTAGACATAATCGGAATAATTGTTTGAAAAATATTGTTTCTACTAGTCGTTGGCTTTTTTCATTATCTAGAGCATATTTTATTAATTGTTGTAATCAAACCCACATAGATAAGACTATCTCTATTTCACACAGTGCATTATCCTTGTAAAAATGAAAACTAGGAACATTTCTAGGCAAATATGGCTGTTCATTTCTATACACTATCAACCTAGCACAGTAAACTGACCAATCGCTCATTTTTAAATGTAAGATTATGACTACCTACATGGTGGAGCACTCTTGTAATCCTGGTATTTGAGAGGCTTAGGCAGGAGGATCACCATGAGTTTGAGGTCAACCTGGTCTACATAATATGTTTAAGGCCAGTGTGGACCCCAGGGAGTTCATGAGACACCAGCCCATCCAGGGAGTTCATGAGACACCAGCCCATCCGGGGAGTTCATGAGGGCTGCATGTGGAGACTGCGGAAGATGCTGCACGGGGCTGGTCTCAGTAAGATTCCTGAGATGTAAATAGTGGTAGGAATTTAGGCACACAAATAGGCTTCGCAGAAACCAGACATCTGAGCTTCTTTTTGTAGACTAAGAGTTTAGCAGGGTGGGCTAGGAATGTAGTTAAGTGGTAAAGCACTGAAAGGCTTTAGCTCTGACCCCATCACCAATCAATCAATCAATTGATAGAATAAGGGGCCAGTGAGAAGGCTTAGTAGGTAAAAGTGCTTGCCGTGTAAGCTTGATGACTGGGGTTGGGTCCCTGGAGCCTACATAAAGGGAGAAAGAGAGAACCAACTCCAGAAAGTTGTCCTCCGACCTCCACATGTGCCTCATGCCTTGTGTCTACTCACATATCATACAAGCAATGATAATAATTATGGTTTAAATTAACAGTAAGTTTTTAAGAAGGGGATTTTTGCAGGTAGACAGAGGAAGAAGGGAGATGCCAAAGCCTTAACAGCTGTTATCCGTGATGCCAGACTCTGCTTACAGGGGCAGAACCAAACTCAGGAAATATTGTCGCAGATGCCAGGGTTAGGGCTTACATGGAAATGTGCACACAACCCATTTGGCTCCCTCCTGAAACTTCCCAGAACGAACTAGTTTTCCCAAAGACATACACTCACAAAGCCAGAGTGAAGACAAAGGAAAACAACAACATCATGGAAGCCCGAAAGCAGAGGAGCCAGCCCGAGAAAGCTAAGAACTTAGCTCATGACAACATAGTTTTTTTTTTTAAAGCAGAGAGGTTTAGAACCAGGATTCCCGAATAAGGAGGGGCAGGTCAAAAGATGTTAGGGACCAGGCAAAGCTTTCGCGAGTCAGACAGCAGCCTTCCTACCACACATTCTGAGATTCCATCCCCAGCCATTATGTCAGTCCCGCCCTCACCCAGATCCCTGAGCAATGGTGGCATGAGAAAGCTCGGGAAATGCAGACAATGGGCAGTACCTCCAACTCTAGACCACCAGGGAGAGATGGGCACCCTGCTTCCACCCTGGGGCCATCCAGATTTTTGTTCTCTGAAAATGGTAAAGCACAGGGTCTTTGGATTGAAGACAAGTAAGTGATTGCTTAATGACCACTGTTTGAAAAGAGCTGGTTCATCCCGCCCTCCTGACCAGCTGATGGTCGGCAGCACCTGACCCCTCAGGAGGAAGCTGCTCAGGTCTGCAACAGCTGGACTTGCCTGAGCCAATACCATGGGATTTCACATGCCGCCAACATTCCACAGTGAGGCTCCCAGTTAGCAAGCGTCACCTCTATGCTCAAGCTTCTCACTGGTCTTTCCTTCTAGCCCTTCAGTCATGAAAAAAAATAGAGACAGATACCAGGGTAAACTAGAGGGAAAAGACAGGAGTCAGGAGAATTCAAACTTCAAAAACTCAGTATCCTCTAAGAAACAAGAGATGTCATGAGTGTAAGGTAAGTCTGTGAAGAATAGTTGGAGACCATGAAATCGCTAAAGAAGACAAAAGAAGCCTGCAAAAGTCAATGGAAGTGGGCTGGAGAGATGGCTCAGTAGTTAAGAGCACTGACTGCTCTTCCAGAGGATCGGGTTCAGTTCCCAGAACCCACATGGCAGCTAACAACTGTCTGTAAGTCCAAGATCTCACACCCTCAAGCCCTCACACATACATACAAGCAGGCAAAATACCAATACACATTTTTTAAAGGCAATAGAAAATGTGGATGGCAGCTGAGGTAAGAATCTCAAACACGGTAAAGTGAAAACAAAAGAGAAAAGTTGGGCTTTCATGGCACCTGCCTGTAACCCAGCACTTGGGAAGTAGAAGCAGGAGGGTTGGAGATGGCCTCACAGAGAGTCCCCATCTTGCAAAACAAAAAACAAAAAACCAACCAAACAAACAAACAAAACAGGAAAAGAAAGAAAAAAGAACGAGAAAAATAATATTTGTACCAAGAAAAAGTGGTGGAATAGTGTCCTAGTTAGCATCAGCTGTCAGCTTATGAGTCGCCTGGGAAGAAAGACTTGATTTAGGACCTGCCTAGGTCAGTCCGGCCTGTGGGCATGTCTCTGGGTAAATGCCTTGATTAGTAACTGACGCATGTCCCAGCCCTCTGTGAACCACACCATTGCTAAGAAGCTGGTCTTGGGATGTAGGAGAAAGCTACCCTACGTGAACCTGTGAGCAAACCAGACAGGGAGCCAGCAGGCAATTCCTCCACGCTTCCTGCCTGCCTTGAGTCCCTGCCCTGACTGCTCTCAATGACTATGAGCTGGAACTGGAAGCCAAACAAAGCCTCTCCCCTCAGCTTGCTTTTCGTCGGAGTATTTTTTCCACAGCAACAGCAAGGAAACTATCAAAAGGAGACCAAGAGGTGACATCATAAACAGAAGTGGGGGAGGTGAATAAAGAGTTAACAAATCAAAAGAGACCTAATCAGAGCATTGCCCTTTGAATGAAACAGTGTACACCCATAACATGTATGTGTGAACTTCCAGAGCACAGACAAGAACTACTACATCTACAGTCTTGATGGCAGGGGAAGGGAAAGGCCCTTGGGCATGGGGATAAGCCACACACTGCATTTAGATTCAGGTACATCAACAATAACAATGAGACCCAATGCAGAGATGTCTTTAAATATCCGAAGGAGAAATGACCCTCTGCTTAGAATTCTATATTTAGCCAAACCTCCAGGCAAGAATTGGGACATACTCTCAAGAATTAACCGAAGGATAGAATCCACCAAGATGAAATGGCAAACAAGAAAAAATAGCACACACAGAATCCAAAAGCTGAAGATCATGGAAGAGAAGTACCCCAAGCTCCCAGAAAATGCTGGAGGGGCCTGCCAGCTTTGATGGATGTGCGCAGACATCCTCAACGGTCACCCCTCCATGTTCCATCTGTGAGCTGAGGCCCAATGCACACAGCAGCTTGGCTTCGGTTCTTGTCTCTGTTTGCTGTGTTCTGATGCTTCTGTGCTCCTTTTAGCTCCAAGTCCTGGTGGGCTTAGCTGGAGAAAGGCTGAGCGACCCCATACCCCTTGGACACATAATCACCATGCTGCATCATGCCCAGGCTGGAGACCATGTCCCATGGATCCTAGGACTCACTCCTAACCCTGCCTAGACAGGTTCCCGTAAGCACCCATGAATCCTGAGGCAGCTTGTCTTCTGAGACGCAGCACATACAGCCACTGTCACCCAATTCATCTAGTGCTTGCTAACTAAAGTTATTCTTCTTAGAAGTCATGGGACAGCGACGAAAGCAGAGAGGATAACTATGACTAGCATCCAAAGGGAAAGAGGTTATTGGTGGAGTGAGGAAAACAGTGTGATCTGGGAGGGTTTCCCAGAGGCCCCTAAAGGCCCAGTGATGCTTAGCACAGGTGTGGTATTTAGAGGCGTCTGTCTGAGCTTTAAACGGTGCGTTTCACACACTTCCACACAGGACCACTCTCAGTGTGATAGGAGCCTGCATGCAGAAAAGATCAGCGTATGCAAAGGCAGGTCATACGAGGCCTTCCTGCACAACGCAGTCCAGTTCTCAC